GGTTAAGCGACTGCCTTCGGCTCAGGTCATGATCCTGGAGTCCCGGGATCGAGTCCCACATCGGGCTCCCTGCTCAGAAGGGAGTCTGCTTCTCCCTCTGACCCTCCTCCCTCTCATGTGCTCTCTCTCATTCTCTCTCTCTCAAATAAATAAATAAAATCTTTAAAAAAAAAAAGTTACGAAGCTATACATTTTTTCCATGTAGTTTTCTGTATCTGTGCTGTAATTTACAATAAAAAAGTACAAAAAAAATACATCCTTTCAAAGGTGTCCATTTTTTCACAGATTGAACTGTATAGTCTTTAAATAACTTTTAATCTCTAAAATTGTGATTCTATATTATTACTGTGATAAAATCACTGAAAATGAAAATACTATAAGGTATTTCCCTATTTAATGAAGTTTTGAAATATCCAGGTTTTAAAATATATATATATGAAAGATTTTCTAGACAAAGCAGATGGGTTAAAACTGTTTTTCTCCCAGATTTATGTTTCTTTGATTTTCCACTGTAGAGAAAAGAAGCCAAATCCAAGTCTTACCTCAAATATATTTCCAATTCTTTCTAATCTTTAAGTTTATGAATGATACTTTTCTGGACCAAAAGTCAGTTGGTCTCTGGACTATCTCCTGTCTATAAATCACTGGAAAGCACAATGTAATATCAGCAATTAAAAAGTTATGTACAAATACATGTCCATATAAAGAACATAAATGTACAAAAGAGTTGTATCTGTAATAACCCAAACCTGCTAACAGCCTGAATGTCTTTCTACAGGTGAATGGATAAACAACTTGTGGAACATCCATGCAGTGGAGAGCTTGGTACTCAGCAACAAAAAGCAATTAACTCTAGAAACGGATAAATCTTAGGATAAATTTCCATTATGCTGAGTAAAAGAAAGCACATTCCCTTTCTCAAAGAATACATTGTATGACTTCACTAAAATACAATTCCAAAAAATGCAAACTCATCTAGTGACAGAAAGCAGACCAATGTTTGTCTGAAGGTGGGGGGCAGGCAGGGGCGAGAAGGAAGAAATCAGAAGCACCAGGAGAAACTTGGTTCTGATGGCGACGTTCACGACCTTGACCACGGTGATGGTGAAATGGCCATGCATGTATGTCAAATCTTATCAAATTGTGTATTTTGAGATGTTTAGTTTATTGTAGGTTAGTCCTCAATAAAGCTGTTTTTAAACAACATAGTATACACAGACAAGACTCTCCCAACTTCTGACTGTATATATAAGGCAAGGAAATACTGAAAACGCTATTGTTCCAACCTGCACTGACAAGCTTCCTTTGATGAGTTGTCTAAGTTTTGTTCAAATTGTGGTGACAATACTTTTGGAGAGAACAGGTCTGTAATGTAGGATCCCAAGTACCTGAATCATAGCTAGCACACCACGAGATCACTGGGGCAGTATGTGCACAGGAGAAACTGAGGCAAAGGAACGTTCTTCTAGCACAGTCTAGCAAACTATACTGGTGTCTAGCAAACAACCAATAATACCTTTTAAAGTTGGTTCCATGAAGCAGCGGCGATTATTCTGAGGACTTCTTAGTCTAGGCTACACAGGCCTATGTGGCCTAAGCAGAAGCCCGCTTTGCCTCTTCTCCAGTGCTATTCCAGATGAGAGCTTACCATTTCAACTGGAGGAAGCCTGTTGCAGGTGAGCCAGAGCGTTGGTCCCAAAGACCTGGTCAGAACTGGCACAGACTCCCTGTCTTAAATCTGTTCAGGTCAGGGCAAAGAGGAGAGCTCCAGGCCCACGCTGGCACCGCAGGTCCTCAGGAAAGAGAACATCCAGCTAGAAGGGACAGAGATGCTTGCTTGTATTCAAAGGAAGCAAGCCTAGCTACTATACCATTCAGGCGGCTCAGAGGAAGCAAGAGTAACCTTGTGAAGAAAATCCGCCCTCCATGCCAGTTCCACCCCAACTCCTAATTATTCTATAATTTGACAAATTTATACCTGCAATGGGACAAAATATAGTCTTGTATTTAAGATAACCAAGAGCCAACAGACTTTACCATGGTGACATCTTCAAAATACCAGAATAGGTGGAACCCATTTATGTGGAGTAACAAAACTTTAGCAGAGTAGACTCTCAACATTGTGTAAGAAATTAAAGTGGGACACACACGTGGTGATCAGCATGGCACGGACTTACTTTATAAAAAGATGCAAACTGCTCATGTACAAAAACCTCTTTGAGTCCTTTATTAACATTTGGAGATGTGCGGTACGTACAATTAACAGCATCACACCAGCTACAGAAGTACAAATAACCGAGAACGTACTTCAGAACAAGGATCTCAGAGCAATTTCAGATGTTGCCTGCTCTGAACCTCCACAAAAACCCAACTCTGACACACGCAGGACAGACACTATAACAATTTCACTTTGAAATGGTTCTTTAAAAAAAGGACAAGAATTAATAGTTCAAACCCTTTAGAGTGTGAGATGTGGCAAGTCTCTTGGTGCCATGGCACTGCTGTAAAAGGCCGGCTCAGGCATCTGAAGGTCAGACAGAGTAAGACCCGGCTGGGATGAGGGGAAGAGGTTTGATTTTCAGTGTAGAGCGATAACAGATGGTCCAAGTGGATACTTTCAGTCCAGGCTCAGTATGGGTCCTGCAGGAGTCCACCAGATAAATAGAGTTTATAAACCAGAAGGCTGAAAACTGGCAGCCGTTCATTTGTGTCACTGATTCTAACTGGCAGACACTGATGCATCAGGAGTCATTTATGACACAGCGAGTTTAAGAGGGATACGCCTGAAAGAGAGAATGGAGTTCACTGCGTCAGAATAGCTCTGATCCATTTGTGCCACTGGGTACCATGGGTCCCTCTGCTTTCTTGTGTGAATTAAGGAACACTTCCTTTATTTCAATGTTCCACTTTGAAAATAACCAAAACCCTCCCCCCACCCCACCATCATTCTTCATAAATTCTGTTTCCAAAGTCCTGATTCTTCTGGGTCTAGACTTTTTCCTTTCGCTTCAATTTTGACACCTTCTTGACAGTCCCGTTCTTGTTTAGAAGCTTCAGGACGCGGTCTTTATGATCTAAAACCTTAAGCATGGAGTCTCTGGCCTCACTGATCTGGTCCATCACAAGTTTACACCGCTGCATATTTCCCTGCAACAGAAGACATCATCAACAATCAGTAATCGGGAAACCACCAGGCTTTCAAATAACTTTTCACCTATGGACAGGCCATTTTGAGGCTTCCACATAGAAAAAATGTTTTAGTCTTTCTTGGTAATGCACGCTAAAGTAAATAGGTTTTTCTTTTTTTAAGATTTATTAATTTATTTGAAAGAGAGAGAGCGTGTGCGAGCGGGGGTGGGGTGGGGTGCTAGGAGGAGCAGAGGGGGAGGGAGAGAGTCTTAAGCAGACTTCCTGCCGAGCACGGAACCCAGCGTGGGGATTGATCCCATGATCCGTGAGATTGTGACCTGAACTGAAACCAAGAATTGGATGCTCAACCAATGAGCCACCCATGCGCCCCAAAGAGTAGGTTTTTACTAAAGATATTAGTGAAAGAGGGAGGGAAATGGGAGAAGTAAGACCGTCTAGTGACAACCACATAAACTGGATGATCAGAGGGAAAGGGCTATGTCAAACCTGTATCAGTTCATTTATTCGGTGTAGATCATCATCAGTTGCTGCTTTTTTCTTTGGGATAATCCCTTCCTGTAGGTTGGTGAGTCTTTCATAAACATCATGTTCTAGATTTGTCTGCAACACACAAGAGGATGGGCATCATGGCCTCAGAGATACTTTTCCTTGGTAACCTCAGGCAAATGCACCCACCTTGAATCACTTCTGTAAACTGGGATGAGAGCTGTTTGGGTGATAGAATCCTTTCTCCCGAGGACTAGGGCAAGGGAAATTGATCAACAACGATTAATAGGACAACCTGTCATAATTTAGGGCCCATCTTCAAGGATAACTTTTAAATACTGCCCTGAATTCACAACTGCTCTAAAAAAAGTCTAAAGGTTTCACAGAAACATGCTTTTCTAAGTAACAAAAAGTAGCCATGGAACTACTTTTTTTTAAAGATACTCATAATAGACATTGTTCTTCAGATCACAACTACTCCAAAGATGAGAAAACTTCATGAGGTTGTTGTTTTGATTGCCCCCCGCCCCTTCACCTCCTTGGTGAAGGAAGGATTCCCGCCCTAGGGTTATGGAGACGGACAAGTAACACCCGCCAACACTGGACACAGGAGACCAATAGCAGTTTACTAGTCAATATACTCACAGCCCAGGGGAGGAGGACACCACACACCACGCAGGGCCACGCAGGGGCTGCACTCAGGAACAGAGTGAACAAGCAGGGGCTGTAGGAGGCAGGCTTTGTAGTATCGAGAGGGAGAGGTGTTCCCTGGTTACCATGGGGATTGTGACAGCTTATTTGAACAATATTGCAAACTGGCAGGGAACTAAAGCCCACTGATCAGGAAGAAGTGGGAGTTGAGCCTGGTCCCTCTGATAAGGAGCATTGTGGGGAGCAAGGACTTACAGTTAGGCCATTTGAAGCTGTTTCAGATTCACAGCAACACAAAATATGGAACCTTAACTGTAGGTCTTATACAGAGTTGTTCAGTGTATTTTGGTTCTTGGTACCAGACTAAGATATGTTCGAATTATATCTATGGGATAAATACAGTAATTACAATATTATATCATATATTATACATAAAAATTCTGCATGACCCATGCTAATTGGGAATGCTTCAGAATTACTCAAAAGGAAACACTCTATGAACTCAGATGCCTCCAGCATCTGTTCCTCTCTTCAGCAGGACGTAACAACTACTAGAACTCTACCCACCAGCTGTAGCAACTGAGCAGCACAGAGGTGAACTTTCCAGCCTTGAGCACGACAGGATACCCCTTTCTGGTTAGCTATTTCCTGCAGCATAGCTTTCTTCTCTTCTGGAACCATAAAAAAATAAAAATAAAAAGTATATTTCAATTTTTATAAAGTTCAAATAATTTGGGTTCAAGCTACCGATGCACTACTATTTTATCAAGAATTTCTTTACTTAAATATCTTTAAATAATTACGAACAGAGGTCACAACATGAATAAAAGTTTCTCCTTTTGTTCACCCCAAAAGAATGCTGTAAAGACGTACTCTGCTAATCTAGTGAGTTTGAAAGAGAGCGAATTAATATTCTAATCTCTTAAAGGAAGGGAAATGGTCTCTGGTGGTCTGGAGCCTTGCTCATGTGTGATGTTTGCAAGCATGTGGAGAATTGGGCATGAAGTTTTAGAAGCTTTTTGGTGTTATCTAGATCTTGGAGAAATGAAAGGAATCAAATTTGAATAGCATTTCACATTTGGATAGAAAAGTCCAGCAACCAGAACTGTAGTAAAATAAATATGAAACGTATCATTTGGATTGGGGAGAGGGAAAGCAGGATTGAAGGGTACTTGTCAAAGGTGAGTTGAGCTGTGTATCTGAAGTTTTAACTACTCTTTAACTACAACTTAAAATGTATTTATAGGGGCACCTGGGTGGCTCAGTCAGTTAAACGTCTCCCTTCGGCTAAGGTCATGATCCCAGGGTCCTGGGATTGAGCCCTGCGTCGGGCTCCCTGCTCCTCGGGAAGTCTGCTGCTCCCTCTGCTTGTGTTCTCTAATAAATAAATAAAATCTTAAAAAGTGTATTTATACATTAATTAAAAATTTAAATAATAAAAATTATTTAAAAATATTTTTAAAATTTTACTTTATTTAAAAATTTATTCTTGAAAAGACTATATATTTGTCAAAATGCACAGAATGTAGAACACCAAGACTGAGCACTAATGTAAGTGATGAACTTTGGGTGATAATGATGTGTTGGTGTAGGTTCATCAAATGTACCAAATGTACCACTGTGGTGGGGTGTTGATAGCTGTGCATGTGTGGGGACTGGGGGTACATACGAAATCCCTGTACCTTCTATTCAATTTTGTTGTGGAACTAAAACTGCTCTAAGAAGTTCATCAATTAAAAAAAACTCAACCTCTTCTAGTAGGCAAATATTAGCGTGCATATGATTTAAAGATAACTTCTGAGGTAATTGGAAATTCACATACAGTTAGTTGTAGGAAAGAACACAGAGATCCTAAGTACCCCCCCCTTTTTTTTTAAAGATTTTATTTATGTATTTGAGACAGAGAGAATGAGAGAGAGCATGAGAGGGAGGAGGGTCAGAGGGAGAAGCAGACCCCCTGCCGAGCAGGGAGCCCGATGTGGGACTCGATCCACGGACTCCAGGATCATGACCTGAGCCGAAGGCAGTCGCTTAACCAACTGAGCCACCCAGGCGCCCGACCCCCTGCTTTTTTTAAAAAGATTTTATTTATTCGTTTGAGACACAGAGATACAGAGAGAGCACGAGCAGGGGGAGAGGCAGAAGGAGAAGCAGGCTCCCTGCTGAGTCAGAAGCCGGATGTGGGGCTCAATCCCAGGACCCTGGGATCATGACCTGAGCAAGGCAGATGCTTAACCATCTGAGCCACCCAGGTGCCCCAATCCTAAGTACTCTTTACCTGACTTCCGCCAATGGCAGCATCTTGTAAAACTACAGTACAATACCACAACCATGATGATGATGCAGTCTATTCAGATTTCACCAGTTTCAGATGTACTTGAGCATTTCATTTTAAACATTTGAAAAAACGTTTTAGTTTGACATAATGAGATTCAGAAGACGCTGCAAAGATGGTTTAAGGATATATCTGATAAGAGACTAACAAATGAAAAATTCCTATAGCTCAATAATAAAAAGAAACCAATTAAAAAGGGCAAAGGATCTGAACAGGTATTTCTCCAAAAAAGATATAAAAATGGCCAATAGTATGTTCCAGTTTCTGCCTATTCCAAAAAAAGTTTCTATGAACAGCTGTGTACAGATTTTTGTGGGGACACAGGTTTTGATTTTTCTGGGATAAATGCCCAGGAGTATAACTGTTAGGTCATATGGTAAGTGTATGTTCTAGTTTTTATGAAACTGCCAAACTGTTTTCCAGAGCAGCTAGCTCAGCAAAGTATGAGAGACAACTGACCTGTGGCATGACAGCGCTCTGCTAACCTGCTCTCCAGTGAAACTGGTGAAAATTTTAAAAATAACTATTTAGACCTATGGATAGGCTCCTAAGCGGAAATAGAAAATCTATTCATGCAATATCTATTCAAGCAAATCTGTGGTAAGAACAGTGAGTCCAGGGCGCCTGGGTGACTCAGTCGTTAAGCGTCTGCCTTCGGCTCAGGTCATGATCCCAGGGTCCTGGGATCGAGCCCCACGTCGGGCTCCCTGCTCAGGGGGAAGCCTGCTTCTCCCCTTCCCACTCTCCCTGCTTGTGTTCCCTCTCTCGCTGTCTCTCTCTCTCTGTTAAAAAATAAATAAAATCTTTAAAAAACAAAACAAAACAGTGAGTCCATGGTATCTGAATCAAGACCACTCCCTCTTTTCCTCTCCCAGCTCAGTGAGGTGGATCTCCACGCAGACTGCTGCAGCCCAGAACATGGGGTTCCCTCTCCCCCAGCTGCCAAGTGGAAGGCTATCTTCCCAGGCGAAGCAGGTCATCAGCATTTCCCATCCTGCTCCCCGCTACTCAGGCTAAGTCCTAGGTGAGTACAACTGAGATGCAGGGGCTCTCTTCTGTTCGATCCCTAGTCTAGAATGGAGGCTGTACCTTAGGGCAAGGTGTGCGGAAAACACTGTGAAACTTTGTGAAGTGGTGGTTTTATGCTAGGAGAGGCAAGCCAAGAGGACCCCATGCTGCTCACTCCTCCACTTGATGCTCACCTCCTAGAGTAGGGTGTTACTTAGAGAGAAGGCTGCCATTGTCCTCACCCCACCTCCAGAGGCCTAGCTTAGAGATTCTGCCTGGGGGAGAAACAGCCCATATAACAGGTAGCTTCTAATCTTTTCCTAAAGGAACTGACTCCATTTGCCACAGACTATGAAGCTGAAACCTAAAGGTGCTCCTAAGGAAGAGTGGAGGTTGTAGTG